TGCTCAGAAACTGTTTCTTATTAATAATAATCTGGAACCTAACTTGGTTCATGTTTCTGTCCACTTGCTCCTTATTCATTGGGGTTTTGAATTACAAATAGTATGGCAACGGTACTCTATATACTGAAAATAAAGGCTTATAGGTTAAGTAATTTAAAAGTAACAATTTCTATCATGAACTCTGTTTCTGTAATGATTTCACTTGACCTTTATAAACTGAACAAGTTCAGATCTGTGAGATGTAAGTACTATGTCAGGTCTGCATAGGCTTGGGCAGCTCTGTACAGAAAAGAGATGTGGCACTTCTAAACAATGCCAGCCTCTGAACAAGCCATGGAGCTAATTCATGATCCACCCATCATGGCTCAGACATAATCAACAACAAATTCAAAATCTCAGGATTGTCTCTCTAACCCCACCCTATATGTCAATGCAAAAGTGTTACAGGCCAAGGGATCTGAAAGGCTCAGCTCCATATTTTACAATGGCTATATATTTTGCTTTAAAAATAAACTGTTCACTATATGCCTTGACATGTAGTATTTTATTTAATCCTCATCTGCATGCTGGGATATAGGGTGTATTACTGTCTCAACACAGACAAGGAAATTACAGCACTAAGATATAACTAATTTGCCCAGAGGCAGAGAAGTGGTAAGGCCAGGACCTCTGGTGGTCTCACCTTAGAGCCCCATCTCTCAGTCATTCAGCAGATATGTGTGTGCCGACCAGAATCTAGAGTCACAGAGATACATACAGCACTGGCCCCTCCCCATACAGAACTCATGGTCTAAGGAATTACAGGCATCACCAAGTCATTTCAAGTAAATGAAGGAGAAGCACAGAATGCCATGGAAGTTCATAACCTGTATCTGTTAAAAAGGCTTCATCAAAGGTCCTCCCTGGTGTCACAGGGCTTAAAATCTTAGCACTCTCAAGCTATCACCAGCCAATGTGGCCTGAGTTCAATCCCCAGCCAGGGAGGTGACCCACGTGGCACAGCAGACCTCTCTTATCTTACCTGCTCTCCCCTCAGCAGTGTATTTCAATAGATCAGCCTGTTCTGCTCCCCACTCTGTCTCTGGTGAATCCTCTTACTGCCTGCAACTCTGGCCTACACCCCAGTTCTTGTATGCATAAATTAAAAAAAAAAAAGGCTTCATGGGCCTCCCTGGTGGCGCAAGGTGTTAAGACGCAAACTATGAAGCTGTCCACAGCCACTGCTGCGTGAGTTTGATCCCCGCCCAGTGAGCTACACACGTGGCACAACAGACCTCTCCTGACTGGCCCGCAGCTCCCCTCAGCAGTGTACTTTGGTCAGTCTGCCTGTTCTGTTCCCCACTCTGTCTCTGGTGAATCCTCTTACCCCTCCAACACCTCTGGTCTGTACCCCAGTTCTTGGATGTATAAATAAATATTTTTTTTAGAAAAAGGCTTCATCAAGAGATGAAAACAACCTAACTGACATTGACAGATGACTGGATAAAGAAGATGTGGCATATATACGCACTGGAATACTACTCAGCTATAGAAAGATGAAATCTTGCCATTTGCAACAATAGGGATTGACCTAGAGGGTATAATACTGAAATAAGTCAGATGGGGAAAGACAAATACCATGTGATTTGTAACAGGGTGGTCCCCAGGAAAAAGGGAGGTTCCAGGTTCCCTGCCCCACCCAAGGAAGGGTGGAGCTAAGCAGGGAGGAGGAGAAGCTGGAGAAGGAGGGAGGAAGGATGGAGAGCCAGAAGGAGACCTGGAGGAGGCAATTGGAGCAGAGAGACATGTGAAGAAACTGAGCTTGCTTTTTGGTCCTAGACTGGTGGAAACAGATGTGGGTGAGAGACCCATGGGGAGGTAATGATGGCAGTTCTGATTTTGATTTTGATTTTGATTTTGCTCTTTTCCCCCCAGACTTGTCTGGCTGTTTCTATATCCTTTTCCATGTGTCCCGGCTAGAATATGCCTTAGACTTGTGGCAGGCTTTGGGCCTCAGAGGCCCTGCTTTCGGCTAACCCTCTGTGGCTGGACATTTATCAACAAGGGGATAGGTAACTTTGGGTGCCTGATTTGGAACCTATATTGTTTGTCTTTTTTGTTATTGTTGCACACTAACTGTATTAAAGTTCCTTTCCATTAATGGTCTTGTGCACTAGAGTATGTTTTGTCTTGATATGGCAGATGGCAGAACCTATTTAAAGCAGACAGGTTTAAGGGTTCTGTGGTGCCTCTCTCCCTGTCCTGTAATAATTTCACAAACAAACAGATGAACTAAATAAAACAAAAATAAACTTTTAGATTATTAGACCAAGTAAGTGGTGGTCAGAAGGGAAGGGGTAAAAGGAGGTGGGTCAATCTTGTACAAGGAGTCATTGTATGGTATAGGATAGAATTGAACTTTTAGTGGTGAACTTAATGATGTATGTAGAGACATGATTTATAATGATGCACAGCCAAAACTTGCATAATGTTATAATGCAAGTTTACTTCAATTAAAAAACATTTAAAAAATGTTTAAGTATAATAAAGTGAAAAAATATGGTACAAAGTATGTGGTCATATTACCAATTTTTCTGAAGGCCAAATCTTTAGGTCCACATATTCAAGAGAAAATATAAGCTAGGAAGCAATAGTATCTCTGGAAACTTACACACACACACACACACAAACACACGCACACACACAGTGGCCACTTTCCAAGAAGGTTGTGATAAATATATTAATTAATTTACATATTAATTTACATGATGACCCAGGATTTAATGTTAATTGAAATGAATTAGATATTCAGTTAATCATCTCCACTTTAACAGAACAAATTATAAATTCTGGTACACTCAGGAAAATTCAAGATTCCTGGTTGAACTGTAAGATAGTTCTTTTATATAGAAAAATTCTCCAATAGAGGGATAAACTTCATCCTCTAGAATAAGGGGCCAAAGAAGGAACTTCCTGGCTTATTTGCAGAGAGTTTGACAGCCACTAGGCATCCAGATTCTGTAGTCAGACCAGCCTGGACTAGATTCCAACTCTGTCACTTACTATATATTATTAGGCAGTTTGCTAGCCTCTACAAGTATTGATTTCTTCAGCTGTAAAAATGTGATAAAAATGGTTCCTATCTCAAAGGGTTGCCGTGAAGATTAAAATGAGAAAATGCACATCAAATGCTTCCACGGTTCTTAACCCATAGCAAATAACTAATGTATGGGAACTACCATAATTATTATTATCATTATTCCTCTAAATAGTCTGCATATTGAAAGACACAGAAAGAGAAGAAACAGTCAACAAATGGTAGGTGAATTCAATGGCTGAAATTGTTAGGGAGTATGGCCACAGAGAGCCCGCAGGTAACAGGGAGAGCAACAGAGTGGAAAGAATTAGATAAGTCCTGTGGGCAGAGCCCTGATTGGAAAAGAGAAGGGAATGGAAGCTGACAGGAGAATAGCAATTAGACAGTTAATTTGTGTTTAAGAGGAGAAAGAACTTCAATGTGAGTAATTAAAACAGTATTCCACCTCTGGCTTTCTCTCATGCCTGAGCAACACCCAGAACACTTCAATGGAGAGCAGAGACAGGTCAAACAAGCGTGCTTTTCTATTCCTGTTCTGCCTGATCATCCTTATCCTATCTCAACAGGTACACATGAGCATGAAGTAAAGCTAACCTCTGTTTACAACGCCACACGATCAAAGCCACAGATGGAAGGGGACCCAGTAATTCTGTAAACTGGTAGTTCTCAAGTTCTTAAGCCACACAATCTTCACTTAAAAATATGAAAAGTAAGAAACATACAGCTACTCAGGCCCCAGCAGAGCTGGGGTTCCAGAATCCAGACAGCTCAGGACTACACCTGCTCACCCCCAGATCCCAAGTCACACCTGCCCACCCACCTACTGTGGCTCCTGAAACATAAACTGAAAGTCATTGATGCTGTCCTATCCCTCAATTTTATTGATGTGGACACATAAGGACAGAAAGGTGAAGAACTTCCACAAAGTTACAACTGGGGGGGACAGGGAAGAAGTGGGCAAAGCTAGAGCTAATATTGAACCAGTTTTTAATGGCCAGCCAGGTTTTCCTTTTACCATCAATGCTACCTTCTTGATTTACATGCCAAAAAGATAAGGAAGAAAGGAAACCATATTTGAAAAGAATGTGCTTCCTCATAGGAGAAAAAACATAAAAGTGTAAGGCTGGTGAGCAATGCGGTCTGGCAATGACAGCTTGGGCTCCACTAATCTGCATTTGAACAAAACATCTTCTTCAATGGCTGACTACAGCTACCAAAACAGTTTTTTGAACATTAAAATAAATTAAGCCAAAAAAAAAAAAGAAAAAAGACTTCACAGTTCATGCCTAACAGATTCGCATTTACAACTATATCACATATGCATGCACACAATTACACTTTAGAGGAAGTTTAAGCCACATTAGTGGGCCTGTGAGGGAGTGAAAAAAAAGGAGTGACTAGCCAACATAATTAACTGCAGTGACTAATGGATGAATTATAGTCCTACGATGCCAGGCATGATTTAGTGTTTTGATCACAGAACCCCAGCCTAGATCATCTGGTTGTACTTTAAAGCGTCTGTATTCTAAAATCAAAGGTCACGTTAAATGCTTCCTTCTTGAGCTCGTATGTTGTGGAGTTCAGAGTTCATATCAACACATGTAAATTATTCTCTAGAGTACTGTGACTTTCCTCTGTTTGAGGCACCAGTGATATAGACAAAGCCCTCAAAGTTCAGCTCCTTCACAGCCTCGGCATATGCTGTTTCCAGGGTGGCTTGCTAGGCCTGAGTCTACAGTCACACAACCCGAAGATAGAGGAATCCTGGCACCCTGCAGCCTGTGAGACCCCATGAGTCTGCACTGCATTTTTACATTTTTATTCCAGACAAAGAGAATGTATAGCACCCAGAGAAACTGTCTAGTGGCTTGAAGCAGTTTATTTCCTGGACTTATCCTTATCACATCCCTTAAGAGTAGCTCACCTCCTCCAGCTTAAAAACCGCTCCTATGTATGGCTGGATGCGCCCTTGCTGACAGTACTGAAGGGCTGATGACAGACTCCTGGAGAACACAGGAAAGTCCTCACGTTGGTATCGACCCCAGTACAGTCCCAGGGCAGAGACATTCTTCAGGAGGAGAAGGTTGGCTGGCAAAGATGCAATGGTTCCTCCAGCAAAACCCACCACCACAATCCGGCCTTCCCACGCCAAGCTGGAAGGAAAGAAGAGAAAGAAAAGACATTAAAAAACAAGTTACATTCACAACCATTAGGACTCATAAGGGAAAAAGAAGAAAATAACAAGTGTTGGCAAGGATATAGAGAAACTGGAACCTTCATCCATTGTTGGTGGGAATGGAAAATGGTACACTTTGGAAAACGTATGGAGACTCTCCCAAAAATTCAAAATAGAACTCCCATATGATCCAGCAATCCCACTTGTAGGTATATATCCAAAAGAACTGAAAGCAGAGTCTGAAAAATATATTTGCACACCCATGTTCACAACAGTGCTATTTACAACAGCCAAGAAGTAGAGGTCACCCAGCCGTCCATCAACTGATAAAGGCATAAACAAAATGTGGTTTATACTAGAATATTATTTAGCCTAAAAAAGGAAGGAATCCCAATATATGCTGCAACACTGATGAACCTTGAGGATATTATGTTTAGTGAAGTTAAGTCAGTGACAAAAAGATTCTGTATCAATTTCACACAGATAGAAAGAAGAATGGTAGCTATTAGAAGCTATATCAATGGATATAGAATTTCAGATTTGCAGTATTAAAAAATTGTAGAGATCTGTATCTAATGTGGACATACTTAACACTACTGAATCGGGCACTTAAAATAATACAGTAAATCTAATGTTATATTTTTATGGTAAATGGTAAATATTAGGTTACATATAATTTGCTGCATTTTTTTTTAGAAAACAAAACAACATGACTTAAACCCAGAGCGAAGAACTCTTCTTGATCTGACAAACTGGCAGGAATGAACCATTATGAACCACTTCTGTGTGCACTGATAGGAAAACACAAAAATAAGCCAAAAGGAAGATAGTAGAGAAACTAGATAGTTTTATAAGGAGACCCACTTCAGAATCCAGCTGTCTATTTAGCTGCCTCAACTACTTTGAGAAAGGTATAAACAAATATCATTCCCTATGCTGTTCTTTAAGACAACTCAATTGGAAGATTTTTTGAACTTAGGAAGCAGGAACAAGAAACTAGACACTTGAGGGAAGTATCATTTGCTTTATACAAAGATTTACTTTAGAACTCCTGTAAGTTATGTACTTCTCTAGAGAGTTTTGAATAATCTACAAACATTCACAAGTTTTCTGCACCCATTATGAGATGTACCATACAGTGCATGCTAAGTAATGTGTTATAAAAATAAATTCTGTAAGCATCTTTGATATAAAATATGTTTATGTTTATTTGCTTTTTTGCTTTTCTTCTTTAGATGGGAAATGAGAAGCTGTTTTCAAAACACAATGAACAAGAAGGCAAAAGAAGGTATTAGCAGCCCTCAGCGCTGGGTCTCCTTCCTTTGCTTCTTGTAGCACGATACTGGGCACAGGGCAGCAGCACTCAGGAAAAGTGGAAGCACTGCTGGTAAATTGCTCTCTCTTTCTTCCACTTTAAGCTGAGATTAACTATAAAAATTCAAGTGCTACCAGGATGATATGAAAAACAATACCACTATTATGAGATATTATTGTTCTCACAGATAGTATTATCAATATTATTATTATTTCGACCAGAGTTGTGGGTTGCAAACACAATGAGAATTGGTGTGGCTATAGCAGTCCTACTAAATGCCCAGTGATATATATTTTAATAAAATAAATTGAGGCGATATATACAGTGCTGGCTGCTTCAGAAACCAGTAACATCAAAAGCATCTGTACCTGGCTGTCTGTTGAACTGGGGAGCAGCCACCCTAGTAATTCTACCCTCTGAAGAGTGGTCTCCTCAAGAATTACCCACACCATGTATATAAAGTAGTTAGTGGGGGCTGCATGGATGAATTCAACACAAGAATAATTTTTAAAGCATCTGACATTGCCAACCAGAGAGTCTGCAGTCATTTTTTGGATATCTTCCAGTGGGTATTTTGTTTTTGCTATATTTAAGCATTTCCTGATTTTCCCTCTGCTTCTATTCCTTTTCACCCACCCACTCAGCTGTCTGGTTGATGCCGATGCCTACAGGAGAAGTGAGCAGCAAAGAAGAAAAAGAAGCATGGCCAGAAGACAGTCAGGGTCTGGAAAGGGCTCAGAAGAGTCTGGATCTAGCCCACTGATAAAAGGCCACCTCATGTACCTGCGGACAGCGTCCAGGAAGATGTCTCCTCCCACAGTGTCAATGACCACATTCACCCCGCCACTGCCCACCAGCTTCCTCACAGCCTGCTTCAGGCCTCCCTGCCCATAGTTCAGGGCAGCCTGTGCTCCTCTCTGCATCGCCAGCTGGCACTTCTCATCACTTCCGGTGGCAGCTATTACCTGCATAAAGAACACAAAGCTTCTGATGGCCTCGAACATGTACTCAGAGGACTCACCTAACTACCCAGCCTCCACCTAAAGGGCACTAAGCAAGGAGACCAACGTGACCCTGCTGTCCTGGCATCAGCCTCAATCCCACACTTCAGACCCAATACATAGCATCTACCCCTACACTATCCTACCCCACTGGCCATGAATCCTGGAGCTTCAATGGGTCTAGCTCAGAGAGGGTTCAGGAGACACTCAATAATCTGCAAATGCAAGTTAAAGCTGCCATTTATTGGGCCTCCCCAATAAATGGGGTTAAGCACAGGGGTTAAGCACAGCACTATGAAGCTAACCGCAGCCTCTGCAGAATGAGTTCGATCACTGGCCGGCCAGGGAGCTGACCCACATGGCACAGCAGACCTCTCCTGTCTCACCCGCTGCTCCCCTCAGCAGTGTATTTCAGTCAGTCTGCCTGTTCTGTTCCCCACTCTGTCTCTGGTGAATTCTCTCACCCCCCACACTCCTGACCTGTACCCCAATTCTTGTATGCATAAATAAATACATCTTTTAAAAAAAAACTGCTATTTATTGAGTATTGAGGGAAGTAATAAGGATGCAAGCTAAATACCAAACTTGGAGCCAAGAAAGCAAGGTAGAGCAGTATGATGGGGGGAGAACAGAGGGTTCCAGAAATGCAAACAGGAGGTACCCACCAAATCCAGATGATTAGGAAATGTATCCCAATGGGTAATTAAGTGAAAAGGTCTTGAAGACAGGCAGACTTGAGTTCAAAGCCTGGCTCTGCCACTCTCTAGCTGTGTTACCTTAGGTGACTTACTTAGTAAGAACTTAACATCATGCATACTATGTGCTAGGCACGATTCTAACTGCTTTACATATATTAGCTCATTTAATCTAAATAGCCCAATAATATACACACTATTATTATCCTCATTTTAGAGGTGGACAAACTAAGACAAAGGTTGCCCAAGATTTGGGAGGCAGAACTGGAATCCAAACATAAGTAATCTGTCTCCACAGTTCATGCTTTTAACCTGTACACCTCCAGTCAACTTCCCTAAGCTTCGGTTATCTGTAAAGTAAGATTTATTTTAAAAATTTAAATGGAATACTGTATGTAAATCACTTGGAAAACAAAGTATAAGATAAATTGAATCTATTGTTATATATATGCAATCATTTATTCTTTTGAAATCTCATAAGAATATTATAGGGGAGGTACAATTACTCCCATTCTACACGTACATGGCGTTACAGACTCCAAGAGGTTAAGTAGTTAACCCAGAATCATCCTGGCAGTAGGCAGTAGAACATTTATTTAAACCTAACATCACCTGACTCAAAAGCCCATTCATTTCCACTCCATCACACGAAGGCCTGGCAAAAATGGCACAGATAGCTATGGCCACATTGTACAGAAGTCTGGGGTTCAGAAATCCCTAGAAAAGCTCCAAATGCTCCAGCATTGTTTAGAGGGGCCTCATCACTGGATAGCACCCACCAGCTCAAGATCTTTGCCCTCAAGGTGACATTCAGGACTTGCATTCACACACTGCAAGAACATCAGAGCCCATAAAAGATTCCAAATGCACCTATAGCTACTTGAAACAGAAAGTTATCTTCAAACCCTCAAATAACTGTGGTTCAGTGCAGGCTATTAGCACCCGAAGGGGGGCAGACACAGGCTAGGGTCAGGCACCCCAGGATTCTCCCTGGGTCCAGGTGAGAGCTACCATGAATTCTTTTCTCTCTGGGTGCCTCACTTTGTTTACCTGTGAAATAGGGATAATAAACACCTACATCACCCATCTCCCAAGGGTTTTGTGAGGATGGAGGGTAAGATAATTGCTAGAGACCACTTTGACAACAATATGAAATGTTGTGAATGGAAGGTGTTATCAAATGGCCTGTTCCAAGGAGGTGGCGTGATGCCATTATTTTTATTCTTTTTTTGGTTTGCTTTTGCTGAAAACCTTTATTGCAGTTAAGGAAAATACATCTTAGAATAATTTTAATATCTGAATTGAAGTGAATTTTTCTGTCTATTTAACCTTCTATAACTATTTGCAACAAATGGCACAATTTTCTGAGAAATGTTAAATAGTCTAAGGTTCTAAACAATGGAACGAATTTTGGTCTCCCCCACTAAGAGAGGTGCTAAAAGCCCTCCTTTAAACATGAAAATGTGCTAATATTCCATGAGGAGACCCAGTATATTTAGGATGGTTTCAGAACTCACAAGTTTTTCCCAAAAGGGACTTTAATATATTAAAGGAGAGACACCACCTGAAGAAATTTCAGATCGATGTAATTATCTCCAAACTTGTCTGTCTTGGTGCTTTCTGGACACTGCAGTTGCATGTTCCACAGGAACCTCACACTCCACAGACCAAAACTGAACTCACCATTTCCCCATGCATTCCAATCTCAATAAATGGCAGATCTGCAAGTTAACCTAGTTTGCTCCTACCCACTCAATGTCTATTAATAACAGGATACCTTTTTAAGAGATTTTTACCAACATGCCATGCGTTCTAATAGGCACACTGCACGTGTAATCTCAATATTGTCACAACCACCCTAAGAGGAAAGCATTATTTTGCAAAGGAGGGACTAAAGGTCTTAAGCTAGAGGTAGACCTGGTATCTGAACCTAGGTCAGCTTAACTTTAAGGTCCATGCTACTTGGATGCTATCCAGTCACCACATTCTCTATGTTCTTCAACTTGAGTATTTTCCAATTCATTGCCTTGACCTCAGTTCAAATTTCCTCTGGAATTACTCCTAGCATCTGCCCTGCTGCCTTCAAACCAACCCTGAACTCTCCCTTCTCCCCCATTCCACTGCTACCAGAGTGAACTCTGTAAAATGCAAAACAATCATGTAACTTTCTGATTCAAAATCTTCAATCGCATCTAATAAAACTTCAAATGCTTGAGTCTGTCCTGCTCATGCCTGGCATCTTCCACCACTCCCCACACAGTTCCTTTGCTCTGCAGATGGTATTTGCCATTTCCTGAATGCATCATGTTAGTTCCTATTTCTGTGTCTTCCAATATGTCTTCCCATCACTAAAAAGGCCTTCACTTCCCTTCTTCCTCTACTCAGCTACTCTCATTCCTTCAAAAGTGAGTTTAAATGCCCACCTGCCCCATGAAATCCTCCTTCTCTAACACGCTCAGCCTTGAAGAGAGGCGCCCGTAGAGACGTGGGTTTCTTTCATTTGAGAGTGCTCAAAATAGACCAGCTCAAGATTCTCAGAGTTGGTCTCCTCAAGAAGCCCTGCTCTGACATTCAGATTATTCTTATGTGAGAGCAATAAAGACCCTAGAGGCTAGGGAGAAGGCTTGCCTTGTCTTTAATCCCTCTGTCTTCCTCCTAATGAAGAAGTGATCACTGCTCCCTTTTTTTACATAGGAGAAAGTAGTTGAGGGCTATCATCCAGGTCAAGGTTTATCTGCAGATATGCTCCCTCTATCTTTCAGAGTTAAGATAAAATCATCACCTCCTTGTATGTGAAGTTCCTCTCATCACTCCTTCACTCCTCTTTGCTGTCCCTGGCTCTCTCGCCTCATCCCTTGGCAGAAATTGGGACCTGCAAAATTGTTATAGTCCTCTCTGCACACATTATTAAATTGATCTTTTTCCTCTGCCAACATATTTAATGCTATTTTGATGACTCAACCAGTCAGAAAACAACTCAGAAGGGTGGGAGCATCTTCCCCTGAACTTGGGCACATATGTTCATTCATTCATTCATTCATTTGTTATTGCATGCCTGCTATGCTATAGGCACCAAGGTAGGCCCTGAAACTATCTTGAACCAAACAGACACTGTCCTTGCCTTATGTAGATTACAGTTTAGCAGATGGGAGACATTAATCCAAAAATGACTCAAGTAAACTAATACCCACACACTGAGGTGTCTACTATAACAGAGAAGTAGAGAGTGCTATGAGACCATATATAAGTGGGGGGAGGAGATAAACATTGCCTGTGGGACAGAGACTACTTATCTGAAAAAGAACCATCTGAGCTTAAATTTGAGTACAGGAGGAAACAACTCAGGTAGAGTGAATAAAATCTGCACAGATTGTAATGCTAGTTGTACCTCACCAGGTTTTAACACCTGATTTACTTCTAGGGGCCCCCCTAAATATAAGCAAATTAAAATTAAAGTCCAACTCTAGGTTACCTTATAAAGCCCCCTCCCCCCATTGCAATGTATAAGATTTTTTTTAAATAAATTTTATTTTTATATTCCCCATACAATTGCAACCCCTTTATTTTGACCCCAATCCCTCCCCTCCCCGCCCCAATGTATAAGATTTTAAATAAATAAATGAGCATGTTCATGTTTGAAAAATGATGGTCTAGGTTGTTCCTTTTAATGGAGAATCCAAAATGCAAATACCTTAGCCTGAAGAACGTTTGTTGCCACATCTATCACGGCAAGGCCCGTGGCTCCAGCTGCTGCTGTCACTAAAACAGTTTCTCTGTACCAGAGAAAGATGAGTGTTACTTCAGAAACCTTCAAAACTCAACCAGTAATGTGATTCATGAATCACCTTAGAACTAGGACACTTTAAAGCATGAAGAGAACATGGAGGCCATCTTTTCCACCCCGTTATGTGCAGCCTGTGCTATAGCCTTTAGGGCTGTGACTATAGATCAGAGCTAATTTGGTCTAATTTTGAAACTTCCGGGAAATAGAGTTCTTAATTATGTAGCCTCTTTCTCATGCCGGTGGCGACCCTTCCTTTGCGCTACCACACTGATTTCTACTTCTGAAATTCTGTCCCCAAATCATTTGCATACCAACCACTGCTGAATTTTAGAAAGTGGTAATGACATAATAGCCACATTGCAACTAAACCCCTCTCCCTGGAATGATTCTGAAGCTCAGCTATAAAGAGTGGGAAGCAGTGGAAAAGCTCAGGTAACACAGAGACTTCAGCCCCTCTGCAATGGAAATACATTAGTTAGGCACACCAGCCAGGCCTCACAGAAACAGATACCACAGGTCTCCACTAAATCCACAGTGAAGTGAGGTTAAGTAAATCAACTCTCTAAACTTCAATGTTCTCTAGAAGGCAACCTTCAGTGTGGCCAGGTCTGAGAGAGCATTTTCTCCAGATTCAATTGGCCAAGTGCACAGCTGCTTGCTTCCTCTCTAACAAAATATCCTCACCATCACCAGACCCCGGCATTAGGTCAAGAACTTCCCTTGGCCTTTCCTCTTACATAGACTGAACATGCAGTAAAGGTCAGGGGAGGGAAGGTGCAAGGCCTTGGTGGGCAATTTTGACATCAAAAACAGAACGCATCTAGCCCTCTGTTGTCTACACAGTCCTTACCCAGGCTGGGTACATGCCCTATGTTCCAGGGCCAAAATAGCAGTACAATAAGATACAGGCAGGGTAGCAGCTTCTTGAAGGGAGACCCTATCTGGAATCTGCCATAGCATCTACAAAAAAAAAAAAGATAACAGTGATTTAGGGATTAAGTGCATGTACCTGGTCATAAGGCTGCTCAGTAAATATAAGCATTTGACTGAGATTTTGCAAAGAGAAAAGCATCAGGAACCAAGTCCAGAAAGAGTCAAGACCAAATAAACTGTGGCTAAGTTCAAGATGTAGGTGCATCAGACTTCAAAAATCCTGAAGCTGGCATATGGCTCATGAAGGAACCAATTTATGCAGAATTGAATACAGATAATGGGCACTACAACGGATGAATTGAAAGATGTGCAGATTTTACCTCAATAAAACTGAGAAAAATAAATGTACATTGTTTACCACTAGGGGGCACCACCCATGCCCGGCCACCCAGGCTGGCTCCACTCCCAGAGCTATCTGTCTTTCTCAAGCTTTGTGTTGGGAGAATCCATTACATCCAGCTCAGAGCCCCACACCATATCCAACTATGGGTCAACTGGACAGCCAGCCAGCTGCTCCAGGACTCAGAAAACAAAATGCCCCTCTTCATTAAACCACTCCACAGAAATTTCTGTGCAAGAGTTGCCCTAACAATATAGAAAAGGAGGTTAACATTTGAAAGAAGTTCTTGGCTGAGAAACAAGATACAGTCAAACTTACACAAAGAAAGGGGGCAAGAAGGAGCATGAGGAATGAGGACTAGGTGGGAATTAAAGAAAAGAAAGGAAGGGGGAAACCTCCAAGCATTAATATTAAGTGGTGGAGCTACCTTCTGGTCCATGATGCATTCTTCAGCCATACCATTAAAGCCACTCACACCAATAACTCGATCTCCCTGAACGGAAAATACTATTAAGGGTATGTTCAAATGTTCAAATGCAAGAACTATTGAAGGTCCTTGTCACTGACTTCTTCCCAAATAATACAGAAAGTCTGTCATTCTGACTCCCTAAGACAGAGGTTTGCCTTAATTATCTATTCAGAGTTAATGTTTAGTAAGTAATTCAGTCATTTTCTCAATACCCCTACCCTGGTGCCAAGCCAATCTGAGCACATTTTGGACAATGATAGGATAGAGAAAGGAAATAGTTGATGTGAATTAGACTCCCCCAGTTAATTTCTTTCATGAGTCTGAAATTTGAGAACTCTCTATTTTCTCAGTAACGAAAGACCGAGGTGCTGCCTTTTATTAGTCATAAAAAGTTTAATGAAATCAGGAACTTCCACTAGCTTCCTTCCCCCTATTCAGAATAAGTTTCTTCCTCCCCATCTCATTTCCCTTTGCCCAGGAGGAGCCAGACATTTTGGCTACAAAGGAGCTTAGCATAGTTCTCATAGCCACACAAACAGCACAATTCCCGAGATTTCCACTGCTTTACCTCTTTCACTGTGCTGACATCTGTGCCTGTCTCCAATACTGTCCCAGAAAACTCCATTCCTAAAGCAAATTGTTTAAAGATTAGGTTATCTGCAAAGCCCAGTACCACAGAAATGGGGACACTGACCACCAGCATCTTACCAACTTTCTGGAGCTCAGAGAGTTTGTTTCCCCAGGCCAAGGAAGAGGGAAAGGATGGACATTGTACCCAGAGTATAGGAAAATGAACTTAGAGGCCTCCCTGGTGGCACAAGGGGTTACATCTCAGCACTATGAAGCTATCAGCAGCCACTGTAGCACGAGTTTGATCCCCAGCCAGGGAGGTGACCCACATGACACAGCAGACCTCTCCTGTCTCACCCACTGCTCTCCTCAGCAGTGTATTTCAATGAAATCTGCCTGTTCTTGCTCCCCACTTTGTCTCTGGTGAATCCTCTCACCACTCTGCACCTCTGGCCTACACCCCAGTTCTTGTATGCATAAGTAAAAAAATCTTAAAAAAAGAAAATGAACTTAGGATTTTAGGATCACAACCCAAAATGCTCTGGCAGTCCCACTCTTACTGTGACACAAATGTAAATTTCAAGAAGGGGCAAGGACTCACAGGTATACAGATACTTTTGACCCTGATCCCTGTGGCTTTGCGTTCCTACAGCCCTCCAGTTACAATGGTCATATCGTATTTTATCTGTTTTCATATGTCCTCTTTTGGACCATGAAGCAGTCAAGGACATGAATTCTATTTATTTACACTACTTGACTCAATGGAAGAATTGGCATTGTCTGCCCATTCTTCTCCCACCACCCAAAATCTCTGAATTTAATGATTATACATTTCTGACTTAAGCTGCCAGAGGAATAGCTCAATTGAGTATGACATCTTCCCCTCTATTCAGCATTTCAGCAAATACAAACCAAGCGAAATGGTTCCAACTGCTGAGATATAACCAAATACCCACAGGGCAAAACACAACAACTATTTTGCAATCACTGTATCCTTAATAGTATCTATCTGTATAAAATATGCATATAATATATGTACACTAAGCTATACTTACATTCCTTTAAATAAGTTTCAAAACCAATAACCACTCACTTGTCCACATACCCAGGATCTAAACATAATCAGACTGAGCATGATATAAAGCAGACAGTGGGCTGCTAAGAAAATTATAAACTCTTTTTCTTCTTTCTGATCCTTTGATACAAACTTTCTTTGGAAATGCATTTGTGAGGACTGGGATTTCTAGCTGCAAATAATGGTTATGATCCTTCAGTGAAAACACAAAATCAAGGCACTATCAAGGACAGAAGGGCATGACTAGGGCCAATGACAATTCTGAAAAGCAGAATTCTGGTGAACATAGTGACATGCAAAAATTCATTCGTTCACTCATCCATCTTTTAAGTATTTATTGAGCACCTACTATGAACCAGGTACATTGCTCAGACAGTCATAGGGAGAGTCAAAAACTCTCCCTCATAGGGTTCACAATCTAGTGATGTTAATTATTCATGAGTTAGACATATCTGAGGCATCGCTGATGGCAAGCAACATATCAGGGTAAGGTCTGAGAGGAAGTGCTTGGTTCAGAAAATCCTCTCTATTGACTTTTTCTAAAACAGTTAAGTTGGCCCCTTTATACTCACCGGGTGTGAAGGGAAGATGGGGCTTTTCCTGATACTGACCACGGCACACTAAAATATCAGCAAAGTTAACTCCACAGAAATGGACACCAACTCTGACCTGCAAAGGAAATAAGGCAACAAAGAAAAGGAGCAAGGAGACAAAGCTCAGTCAATTATTTAATTGAATATTTACTGAATGCCTATTATACACCAAGTACTGAACTAAAAGCCTTGCACAATCAAGAGGTAAACTGGGGGCCTCCCTGGTGGTGCAGGCGGTTGAGCGCAGCTCTGTGAAGCTGGCACAGCCTCTGCAGTGCCAGTTCGATCCCCTCCAGCCGCAGAGCAACCCACACGGCGGGGCAGACCTCTCCTGTCTCGCCAGCTGCTTCCCTTAGCAGTGTACTTGGGTCATTCTGCCTGTTCTGTTCCCTGCTCTGTCTCTGGTGAGTCTTCTCACCCTCCTGCACATCTGGCCTATACCCCGGCTCTTGTATAAATAAAATAAGTCTTTAAAAAAAAAAAGAGGTAAACTGGACAAGGTTATTGGGTCACAGAACTAAGACAGATGTTAAGCAAATAATTATAAGCATTTATGTATTAAAGTATAACTCCTATAAAAATTGTTGAAGATGTGGTGCTATGATTGCACATAAGGTAGGCATTTGACCTTTTAGGAAAGTGAGGAAAAATCCCTGAGAAAGTAACACTTGAACTACAAACAGTTAAGAGCTAATTATTCAAGTTAGAGAGGGAGGACGAAAGCCTGGCATAAAAGCAATGCCAAGACAAAGGCAATGACAAATGCAAAGGCCCTGTGGCAGGAACAAAAGAAAATTCAGTGAGCCTAAAGCACAAAGAGGAGAAAGAGGTGGTATTGGAGAGCCCAGCCCACAGCATCCAGGGTTTTATAGGCTTTACTGAGGATCTTGGTCTTTATAGTAGGAACAATGGGCGGACGTTAAAAGATTTTCAGCAGAAAGGTCACAAAGATCAACTGTTTTGGGAAGCAGAAATCCTAGCAAATAGTCCAAGATCCCTAATGGTGGTGTTTTATGACAGTGCTAGAGGTGAGGCAGACCTTTAGCAGGGTAATCAGCATTTTCTCTCAGATCTTGTAAGTAAAGTGGTTCTTAAAGTATGGTCACCAGACCACCAGTTTCAGTGTCACCTGGGAACTTGTTAGGAATTCAAATTCTCAAGCCCTACCTACCTAATTAAAAACTCCAGGGACAAAGCCCAGCCCTCAGTTTTAATGAGCTATGGGTGATTCTGATGCAGGTTGACATTAGAGAACTATGTTAGACTAACCCATCTCAACAGGGCTTAGAACACAGGAGGAAATGAAGATTGAGAGACAGAATCCATGACACTTAGTTATTTGTTCTATTTAAACTGTCAATTTAGTACAGAGGTGGTCATATTGGTAAGAAGACATTTTATGGACAAAATGCACACATCCAACAACCTTTTAAGCATCAGTCACATGCCAGGCATTACTTCAGACTACAGGGATTTAACGGTGGGTAATTGCATATAGTCCCAGGTATCATGAACTAACAAGGCAGTGTCTGGGCAAATAACAGAACAAAGGAGGCCACACATTGTGTGCATGACACATGAGTTGCTGATGTGGAAAGTACACATATGTCAAGTCACTCTCCTTGACGCAGCTATGAATGTCAGCACCTGAATCCCAGAAAGCAGACTAAGTGACCAACGTTCTCCATTCTCCCTCTCCCCGTAAGTCCCCAGGCCTGAGATTTACTGAATGCTTCCCCTCCTCAAGGTTCTCCCCCTCCACACCAGATGACATTGTGTCGACCACCAGGGAGGTCAACAGACAAGGTCAAAGGGACCTCCACATATCAGTGGAGGTACCCACAACCGTAATCTAATCCCATCCCAAATCACTGCAACACACCAGAAAAGGTTACAAGGCATATTCATATGGAAATACAGGCATTACCAGACTGTTTTGGGGGAGGAGAGAGGGCGGATAATTAGATGCTGACACGAGGGGGAAGTAAAGGATGGGGTCCATTTATCTGCATTAAATCAATAACTTGCAGTGGATTCATGCAAAATCGTGTGCACATCAGAAATCTGTTTCTAAGGCAACAGCTCTAGGGCCTTCAGACAGAGGCCTACATTTCAGTGTTTGGGGGGAGCCATCTTTCTTTAGCACTTTTGGCCTTTTGGTGAAGTCTGAAAGGGCCTTTGTGACCCAGGACAACCTTTGTGCTCCCAGATCCTGTCGCCGCCTAGGGGAGCGCTCGGGAACTCAATTCCGAGAGGAAGCCTGCGATCCGTGTGGCGCCTCGGGAAAGAGGGGGGTGTCGAGGATTCCCGGGGATAGGCCAGCCCCCCTACCTCGTGAGGCTGGACAGGACGAGGGGCGACCTCCTCAATGGCCAGGGGCTGCTTCAACTGGGTGCAGAGCGCGGCGCGGTAGTGCCGATTGCAGCCCTGCAGGGCTTTCCTGCAACACGGGAAAAGGGTGGGTTACTCGGCCGAGCCTGGGGCTGACTTTTGGGGCTCAGCCAAAGTCAGGGCCGCCCTGCACTTAGGATTTCGCACCTGCAGAGCCACGCCCGAGGGAAACACCGAGCCCGAAGTACCGCCGCCATGGCCCCAGCAGTCACGAGAGCGGGGTGGTCCTACCGCTGCAGGAAGAGCCGGACGCGCCGGCCCCGCCCCAGCCCTCCGGGGAGAGCGGAAGAGCCGACCCCGGGCGTCTGGAGGCGCGGCCGGCGGGGCTGGCTGCGGCGACCCCGACCGCGCGGGCGCCGTGCTTATGCGGGGGTGCCTGAGCAAGGTGCGCGGATCCCGGGGCGCCCGAGCCTCTTCCTACCCGGGCCTCCAGGGAGGTGGTAAAAAGAGATCACCTACCCGAAATTAACTTTGCTACTAGCATTTTTGCAGCCTAATTAGGAGACTTAAAACCACACTTGGCAGCATCTAAAGAGCTGTGCTTTGGGGCCTCTGCATGTGAGAAAACGTAAATGCAAGGGTTTTTATGTCTGCATTCCGCACAGTACTAGAGTTCTATTCTTGTTACTAATTTTCTCACACTTATAGGACCATTAACAGGAAAACCATATGTTACTAGTAATCCAAAGTTGAATGATACGTCACAAATCTGAAGATTATTTCTAATTATTTCTGGTCAGGCCAAAACCATTCCATATTTCTGATGCCTGCATTATACCTGGCAAGTTGTGGGTACTCATTAACTGATTCTATGACCACATAATTCCTAGGTGATTAGGTATACTCTGGGGAAAAAACTAAAAATCGTGTAGTCTGTAAAATATTATAAAACTGTTGCAACCGTAACCAAATATTTGTATATTGGAAGTATAAGAGAAATAGGTGTTATCCTAGGAAGAATATTTTATTTGACAGGTAGCTCTTGAAGACAGCATGAAGTTTTTAGAGGACATCTTGTGACAGATTGCAGCCTCTCAGAGTCAAGACAGGCTCTACCACCTATTCTTGTGGCAATGGTATTGACACCTGAGGCTGTGGACTGCTTTTCCTCCTCCATAAAGTGAAAGCATTGTGCAGGGTAACCCCCAAGTTTCTAAATTGTTTCAATTTTTTGAAGGAAATAAAAGTCCAAGATAGCAAATGATTTGGGAGGAATGATCAGGAATGGAATAAAGGAAAAATAGCAACAATAAAATAGGAATGAACTGAGATTATGGCCTACAGGCTTTGGTAGGAAAGGAATCTAAGAAGCAGTGTGCTACCACCGGTATGTAGTAGAGGTCACTGTTTTCTTAAAGAGCATTCACATGGAATTAGAAAAGTCTTTTGGGCCTAAGAGGAACAAGGACTAGAAGGAGAAAGATGAAAAAACAATTCTTTCAAATGAGACATTTTGTAAACTCTTTGTCACTAGGCACATAAAGGCAAAGCAAGAACAATGAAGAAATATTAACATTACCATCATCAAAATGAATACTCTGGTTGCTAATAACATTGAGCAACAAGAAATCTGAACTTTAGAAAATGTGAAACCAGGACTGATTACTCTGAGGCTGAATTGTCACATGTGGAAATGTTTTGTAAATCATTAGCTATTTATACAAGCTATAAGGCCAGCAATTTTTAACGGAACTCCTTGAAAATAGCAACCATTTCTTAATCCTCATGATGTTTGCAATACTTTGCACAATACAACACTTTGGGGCATTTAAGACATGTTTATCTAAAGAGTTGTTGAATGAGCACTCAGTTCTCTGGTGTGAATTTTTCAGATAATTGAGAGTATCTTTAAGCAACAATTCTTTGTTTTATTTTCAAGTCTTTTATTTTCCATTAATTATTTTTATGGGAATTTTTTCTATTATGATAGTCATAATAGGCTTGTCATTCTCAGAAAATATGAAAATCTGTGATTTAGAGAAATCACCTGACAATACTATATTCTACATTTATCACAATATCAGAAGAAAATAGAAAAAGCCCCTTTAAGAAGAATTCTGGAGGGAGATGAAAGTATCTTAGGTAATAGAGGTGATTTTAAGCACTCATATGCAAAATAACTTTCACATTTCCAAAGAGCATAGAGGTAAGCGACAAGGCATTTATAGTAGTTGCTATAGTAGCAAAAGAAATATTTAACCTATCCATCAAAGTGCTGCCACCACACAGCATACGGTCTAATTTTTGTTACAGTTTCAGGTTGTTTTGTCTTATGGGCGGAAGGAGGGGGGGCAGGAAAGAGGACAGGAAGAATAAAATGTGAGCCCTCTTGGAGAATAAAACCAAGCTGCTGAAAATGAATTGACCAGTCCTCAAGGAAGAAAAAAGAATCGATAGCTGCTCCGCAAACCAGTTTGAGGGCTCATTAGGAAGTAAAAGAGGAACAGATGACTCTTCCTTCTGGTACAATTCACATGAAGAGATAATATTTAACATCCAGAAGCTGCTGGAGGGCTGAGGGTTGAGAAGCAAGTCAGTGCTGAATACACAAACAGATATGTTTTCATAGAAGAAGAGTCAAACAACGTATTACCACACAGGACTATGCTTAACACATATATGAATCCCCCACAGTTAAAAATGCTTTATCCAATAGCTTGTGGACTCCTTGAGAACAGAAACTGGGTCTTAGTGGCCCAGAGTTGACAACCGCATTTAGTACGTAGTAGTTATTCTATATGAGGCAGGTAGGAAACAGGAACTTTGCAGTACAAGAGAGCTACCAGCACATTCCTGAGACATGAATCCAAAAAATATTAAGGGTTCTTGCACCCAATTCCCTGCTAAGCATTCAGCTTCTGGGCATTGTCATATTAATTATCTGACTAGTTGAGAATTACCATTATAGATATGTTATCTTCTCCACACCGAGGTTCTCTAATATTTGTGACGTATGTAGGAGCAGTTTACCTTTTCTCTGAATTTGCTTAGACGCTCTTTCTGATTGTTGCAGCAGGGGTTAACATTTATCAGATTCAGGGATGAACTTGGGTCACTGATGTATGTAGGACCTATTGACCTACTCTATTGGAAGAACTGTGTCAGATATGCTGCCTAACTTATTTGTTCTAATGCTCATGGAATTAAAGAATTTCAGAGCTGGGGGTGAATAAGGAAGATAGTCTATTTTAACTGCTTTATTTATAGGCAAAAGCAAAAGTTTGAGAGATTGGCCCAAGGTCACACTGCAGATTAGTGGTAGAAGTTAGAATCTGGCTATTCTGATTTCCTGTTCACTTCTCTTTCAACAGAGCCATTTGAATTTAACACTTCAACAATATATACAATAATAATAATAGTATTTCATATTTGCCAAATACTTCATGTTTCAAATCAGTGTCACCCAGATTCTTTCTTCCTGCCAATGATGAGAGTAATAATTATCATTACAACAGCACTTATTGTTAACTTATAACAAACCAGTCACTAAGTGCTTTTGCATTATTTCATTGGTTCACACAATAGTCCTATTACTAGGATGCCATTATTGCCAGTCTTTTATAGAGCAGGAATATAGGCTGAAGGAGGTTAAGGAACTTGCCCAAGGCCATATAGCTAAGAAACGGAGCAGTTTAGAAGTCTCCTAATTGCCTGATGCCAGAGCCCTGACAATGGTATCCGGCAGCCTACTGTGCCTTCCCTCACAAATGCTCTGAGAGCAGACAAAGAAGATATTGTATGATGCATGTTAAAGCAGTGCTTTGCCTGTAGTTTTAACCTTAATTTTATAGGAATTTTACAGTAATTCAAGCCTAGAAAAGAGATGAATGCCCTGAAGGAGAGAATATAAAGAAAATAACCTTCAGCATTTAAGAGACAAGAGCAGGAAGAGATGCTAACACATCATTAGAAGTTACTACCCTATTCTGTACAACCATAACTTGAAAATGTATTGATTTATTTAAACTTAAAGTTAATTGTGTAAAATTAATACTGTGATTATTTAGTCTTCACACACACACACATACACACTTCTACATGCAAATATGATTTTAATGAAATAATGTTCTAACATGTTACCATTACTTAGCAGGCAGCAACAGATATTCGAGGTAAATTCCTGGCATCAGATAGACCAATTAGAAAGCAGTGGTGACCTGGGCAATGGTTGCCATTGTCCCCCAAACTAACCACCACTATTTGATGCAGGAGCCTGTTTCCCACCTTAAACCATCATTATGGAACCAACTTACAAATTCTTGAGCATTCTGGTAATTTTATGAAGCTTTTCCAACCCCCACCTTCCCCAGAGAGAACAAATTCTTCCCCTTCGTATGTACCCCCAAAGAACTTTGTAGAAACTTGTATTAGCTCACTAATCTCATCACCCAAGTGGATTTTATCTGTTTATCTAGCTCAGCATCTAAGCTGTGAGCATTGTGGCTGGTTCTGATGATAGCATAGCAAAGTGAAAAGATTTTTGGGCTTTGGAATCAGATGTACCTATGCGTGATTCCTGGCTTAGCTGCTTGTTCATTGTGACCTTGAGAAAATTATTTTTACCTCCCTGAGCCTCTGTTTCTTCTTCTATAAAGCAGCTATAACAAGGGTCTCCCTGGTGGTGCAGCTGTTAAAGTCTCAGTGCTATCAAGCTATCGCCAGTCACTAAGGCATTAGTTCAATCCCCAGCCAGGAAGCTAACCCACATGGCACAGCAGGTCTCTCCTGTCTTGCCTGCTGCTCCCCTCAGTAATGTATTTTAGTACCTATTCAGGTCTCCACTCTGTCTCTGGTGAATCCTCTCACCCTCCCCCCACAACTCTGGCCTGTACCCCAGTTATTTTATGCATAAATAAATAAAATAAATCTTTTTTTAAAAAGCATAATAATACCCCACTCCAGTGATGGCTGTGATAATTAAAGGAAGCCGTACTCAATGAATGGCAGCTCTCAAGAATTCCAGCTTCAACTCTTTCCAGCCATGTATCCTCAACCAAGTGACTTCTTTCTGAGTCTCTTTCCCATATGTAAAATGACTGTGATTACACAGACTAACCTATGTAAAATGCTGGCACAGAATATACATGTAAAGAACAATAGCAAGAATTGCTTATCTGTTTATCTAGAATGAGCTTGGTGGTTGACCCCATGATATATCCTCCTTTCGATGGAATCAACGAAAGGATGAATTAATTGGTGAGTTCATTCACTAACACATATTT